GGCAGCCTTCAGACAGGTGAAGTCTGGCTCCTCAAGCTCCAATCTGACACTTCTCACAGACATTCATTTCACTTTTTTTGTTGTTGCTTAAATATCCCTTGAGGGCAATACTTCTGCAAAAACGCCACCTTTCTCCCACCTTTCCATACTCATCCCAGGGGACTGGTGATCAAAGCCAGGAGAGCAAACCAGGGGCTCTGATGGGATGTGGAACAGGGGTGATGGAGCTGTGAGCCCTCAGATCTCCCTGACAGGTCTGGGCACTGCACGTCAGGATTGCTGGGTCTGCTGTCACCCAGGGCTTCTGCCACTGCTGTTATTCCCTCAGCACCTCAGTGGCAGGTCTAAAATCAAATTACATGAGTGCTACAGGCTGCAGGCCCTGCCTGAGCCCTGAAGTCAGAGGACTTGAAACAATAAATATGCCTGGGTGGCAGTTCCCTAAGAAATGTCATCCTTAGGCTGCTCCTCTGTTCCTCCTAAGGGAACCTGACGGGACTCATCGACTGTTCCTGGAACTGCAGTGGAACTTATTGATTCTGGGAAATATGAAATATGTCTGAGAGGTCACAGTGGGACTCTGTGTCCAAGTGAGACACCAAGGCCTTCAGAGACACTGAATGGGGCAGAGGGAGCAGCAGGAAACGAAAGGTGGGAGTTGAATCCATGAGGGATCAGTGGGGTTTGAACAGCACCGCCCCAAGAAGAGGTGAAGGTGCTGACCCAGGTTCCCTGTGACCAGAAACCACCACAGGGTAAATGTTGCTCCACCTGCTCCCTCTGCTCTAATACACATTTTTTAAGGGATGCTCTTAGAAGGACCAAAAGTTGAAATGCATTTCCTCCTCCTCCCATCGTGAAGGCACGTGCTGGCAGGGGAATCTGGGAGGAAAATGCTCTTATGCTACACAGGCAGTGGACATTTTGTGCACAAGCAAGATGCCTTCACATTCCCAGAGGAATTCAGCTAAAAAGCATCACTGCCAAAAACTGGAGAGAATTCACATGCTTAGAACAAACTTATATTGCTAAAAGTGGGGAACTGGTCAAGAAAAATGTTCAGGCTATCAGAAGTTGTTATCAGAAGTGTCTGACAGCACAGAAGTGTAGGTATTCAACAAAAATCAATTTCTCAAAAAGGCTCCTTCCGTGACCAAAACCCTTTGGTGAGGGCTGAGCAGGAATTGAGCTTTATGTCTGTATCATGTGGACATTTAGATTCCATGAAGCAAAGCAATGGTATTTTTCAGCCCTGAGCCCTCTGAGGCAGGTAACAAATAACAGAGATTTGACAAGAGGGAGAAAAGCTTTCTCACAAATCTCCTGTTTTCCCAGTCCCAAAGGGCTGCAATCTGCCTCTCACCCCCTTCCACGCTGCTGCTCAGTCCATGATCTGTTGGGTTTGTGTTTCCTGATGGGAGTCCAGCGTTTTCCTGGATCAGCTGCTCCTTCTGGGCTGTCATTGTGGTATCCAGGCTGCCAGGACATTCTGGGAACCGCTGCCTTTGGAGGAGGCAGCACAGGGGAGCACAAGGAATGGCGTGACTGACATTTGTTTTTGTGTTTATTGCTACTACTGCTGTTAACGTGTCTTGTTGTTTTTTCTAAAGAGCAGAGTTCATGAATTATGTTCAGCTTAAAAAGAAAGCTGTAAAAAGTACTAGTGAAAGACATCAGGAAGAAAAAACTCAAAACCACTCCTGTTATCTTATTCTCTCTCTCTTTTTTTTTAGGTTCTGCATCCAATTTCTGGCAAATGCAGCAGTGCCTGGGGAGTGGTGCCTCCAGAAGGCTCCTGAAGAGGCAGGGAGCAGTGGGAACTCAGACACAAGGGCACTGAGCTTGCTGTGAGCAGCTTCCACACCAGGGAGAGGAAGAACTTGGTCTTGTTCCTGGCTACAGGTGGCTCTGACATATGAAAGTTGAAACACATTCTCAGTTGAGACAAGTGAATGATGCCTGTCCCATTAAATGTGACTAAGGTAAGATATCTTGCTCTTCACCTAAAACTGACACCAAAGGGTAGGTTTGGATGGGATATTGGGAAGAAATTCTTGGCTGTTTGGTGCTGAGGCCCTGGCAGGGGTTGCTCAGAGCAGCTGTGGCTTCCCCATCCCTGGAAGTGTCCAAGGCCAGGTTGGACAGCGAGTGGAAGGTGCTCCCACACATGGCAGGAGGTGGAACAAGGTGGTCTTAAAGGTCCCTTCTAACCTAAACATTTCTGGGATTCTGTGATCAAGAATGTGAGAATGCCAACGCAGCCTGGAACATGCACAAAATCCCTGGGTGGAGTTCCTGGTCCCAGGGTGGATGGGGTGACACTGCAGCAGGAGGGTCCAAACCTCAAAGATAAGTTATTCATAAAGATACTCATGATATGAAGATATCAATATAAAGATATTCAAGTTGTACACCAACTTACAAACTTCTAGGAACTTAATTAACCCCAACAAAAAGCTACACACAGACTTTGGGGATTGAGCAGTGACACTGCTCTAAGTCACTCCCACAATGAGGATTCCCTCTGACCAAAGAGCTCCCTTGTTCAATGTATGGGAAAACACAGACAGTAAAAGAGATGGTGGTTAAAACTAGCAGCATTTACAGTTGTGTTGGAAAGCCTTGTTCACATCAGAACACCTTCCCCACGTACCTGAACAGGAGAATGGGGGTTTTAAAAAACAAGAAAACCTTCACAGGGTGCTCAGTAAATCTGAAATGAGAACACCCACCTTAAAGCTCATCTCCTGTATGGAATTTTCAGTAAATCTGAAATGAGAACACCCACCTTAAAGCTCATCTCCTGTATGGAATTGTTACCTGGAGTGCAGCTGACACCAGAGGAAAGGGTGAAAAGCTCAGAGCTCAGTGAGAGATAATGACAGAACTGCCAGCAGTGGACCCTGCTGGGTCACCAGAGAAAGGGGGAAAACACAACCCTTTGTGATTACAGTGAAATACAAATAAATATGTTGGAAAAGAACATTCTCTATTTCCTGCAAGCAGTAAAGTTTGGGGGGAAATGGCCTATGACAAATATTTTTCTCTGCTGGAGGCAGCAGCAGGGCTCTGACAGGCACGCTGGAACACAGACCATACGTTTGTGCATATTCAACAGCCCCACTGGGAGACATCATTTCTCAGGCTGCTGTTGGGGTTGTGTTTGGCACTTGAACTGTTCTGGGGGCTTTGATAGTCCAGGATCTGTGCAGAGGATGTTTTGTTCTCAGGGAAAAGAGCACAAGCACATGACCAGAAGCTCTGATCAGCTATTGAAAGACCCAGACCAGCAGAGCTCAACAACACAACTCCTTTGTAATGGAAATGCCATACCTAGGATGGAATTGGGAAAGCAATGTGTACAAGAGGGTTCTGAGAAGGTTGAAGTCATCCCCAGTATTCCTGCCCAGCAGAAAAGGATGCAAAGTTAAGACACCTCTGAGTGGAGAAGTGTCGACCCAATTTAGCTGCCCAAGCAATCAATGAGAGATCTTTATGAGTGTTCAGGAGCCCTAGCACACAGATCTTCCCAGGGAAGCTGAAAGGAGCTAATTAATAGCCCAGATAAACAGAATGAAATGCAAAGCTGGACATAGATCTTTACAGCCCGGTGCTGACTGCGCTGAATTCTCTCCTTGCACTCCCAGCTGACCCCAGGGAGACACCAAGATTAATGCTTGTGCAAAAAGCTTTTGCTTTCCACTTTTTGTAAAGCACTTGCAGACTGTCTACTCAAGTGTTTCACCTGGCTGCAATTAGAGACAGTTTAGTCTTGACTTACAGACTTAGCTGGGTGTAGTTTTGCTCTCCCCATCCCACTCTGAGCACCCTGAAGTGACACCTCTCTATCGTTACTGCTCTGGCTGCCAGGATGTGAATTCCCCAAATAACTGAGGCTGTTTAACCCCAAATTGCTCAGCTCCATCTGTGCCCCCTGCCCTGTTTGCAGTGTGGTTGGGGCCTCCCTGGTGCCCCAAACTGACACGAGGTGATGATGCCACTCAGAGTTAACACACAAACCCCTGGGCAGGAGATGTTGATAAATCATGGGAATCCTCCTTGTTCCCAAGAGGTGCAGAGCAAGGACCCTCAAAGGAGCTTTAGGAGGAGTTCCAGGGCTGGCCTTGAGCATGGGATATTTCCTGGACAGGAGACTTGTGGTCATTTGGCCTTTTCAAGAGCAGGTAAAGAGACACAAGCTGGCTTTGGGGACTCCAGCCATGGGACACATGGGCAGCCCAGCAGAAGCAGCTCCTGCCCTCTGCCACCAGACTGAGACCATTTTGATCCAAGTGTTTTAGGGAGATATACCAGTGAGTCTCCTCAGCAGGAAAGGTCTGTGTGGGAAGACATCCCTTCAAGCGCTTGGAGATGGCAGAGGAAGAAGTTAAACACTGAGGGTGAAGAGTCTGCCTTGCACAGGCAGCTCCTGCAGCAGGGAAAGCCAAGAGCAGGTTTTCCAGGATCATGATTTTGGACTAAGATGCCTAAATTTTGTGTACATTTCACTTCAGACTCTGCTTGGATGCAGCCTTAGATGTCCCTTGTTTTTCCAGGGGAGAGCAGCAATACTTCCATGGTGATCCCCAGTGTCACTGCTAAACTTTTCAAGAGCCAGGGTGGAAGGTACAGCACAAAAAAAAATCTTCATTTTTCAACTAAAGTAAAGTGAAAGAGGAAATCAAATAACAGGGTCAGCCTGAGGGCACTGAGAGGATTCACAGAATCCCAGAATTGTTTGGGTTGGAAGGGACATTAAAGTTCATCTCATTCCACTCCCTGCCATGGGCAGTGACACTTTCCACTGTCCCAGGGTGCTCCAAGCCCCATCCAGCCTGGCCTTGGGCACTGCCAGGGATGCAGGGACAGCCACAGCTGCTCTGGGTACCCTGTGCCAGGGCCTGCCCATCCTCACAGGGAGGAATTTTTTCCCAATATCTAACCCTGAGGTCCAGAGAGATGTGAGATGCTTGAGAATGGTAAATCTTGGGCTCGAGGGCTGCAGCTGACCTTGATTTTGTTCCTCAAGTGAGGAGCTCTCTTGGTTCCAGAAGGAGCCTCTTTCTGTATGGAAGCTAAAGATCATTAAAACCTTCCAGAGGACAACAGCCAACATTCCCCTTTCTCTCAGCTCCCACTTCCTCACACACTCCCTTGACTGAGGAGGAGGAGCAGGCTCTGCTTGGCCTGATTTGGAAGGGAAACCAAACACTACTGGGAGGGATTTGGAGTTACCCAGCTGCACCTCAGTCTTTCCTGTCCCATCATTCTAGTGACCCAGAAGTCCTGGAAAATAAGTAATATTTGTAATTGTTGGGTTATTCCTCTACACAAATGCAATCTTTCTATCAGTGCTGTGCATAAGGATCTGCAGAGAAAACAGGAATGTTCTTGGGATTGGAGACCAGTGGGCAGAACATTTTTTGCAGGCCCATACAAAACTTTCGGGTTGTCCCAAGCCAATGTCCCAGAAGGACATCAGAGTCAGCACTTTGACTGCTGAAATTCCCCACAGCCAAGATAAATACACAAAATATTAGTGGGAATATTGAGAAATAACCAAAACTGGTGCAGAAACCAGGGTGGAATGTGCTCGCAGGGACATGCACAGGCACGGCCTGTCCAACGGACTCGTGGTCATCCACCATCCTGGCTCACAACCCTCCCCTGAAACCTTCCTCCAGCCTCAGGTCCTTCTCTACAAAGGCAGTCTCATGGCCTGGTTTAAAGCTCTAACAGCTTCATTTTGGTTCAAGCTCAGCTTCTCTCCTGGACTATCAGGCGTTTGGGAAGTTGTGAAGATCACACTATCATTGTGGGAGAAAAAACTGTTCCCCCATGGCATCCCCCTTGCTCTGTGCCCCATCACACAGCCTGAGTCTGCATGGGAAGAGCCAGCTGGAACCTCTGGAAATGCTCGTGGGATTGAGGAGGGGGAAAGCACAAGCACTGGCCCCTTCTCCAAAAGCTGCACACCAAGATCCCAAATTAATTCTTACTCCAGCACTCAGGAACTCACTGGAGTCAGAGCTTTGGGATTTAACTGCTGCTGGAAAAGGAGGAAACTCCTGTTTGCATGCACGAAGATTATAAATTTTCTTCCTCCACTCCAATAGAAGTTTAATGCAACAGGCCCTTTGCTGTGTGTCCAGTGGCCTGGTCACCACTGCCTCAGGTGAGCACAAATCCAGAGGACTGACATGGGAAAACAGCCTGGGCTGGAGGTGTGCTCACATAGCTTCATTTAGATCTTTCCTGATGGGAGAATTGAGAACCAAAGATGTTCCCACCAAACCTACTCATCCAATTACTGGAGCACTTTGAAATCGTGATACGGATCAGAGGAGCAGCCTGCGCTTTTCCCAGGACAGACAGCAGTGTGCAGACACTGCACTTTTGGGAAGCATCAAGAACCAGACACAGGAGCTTTGTGGCTTTTCTTCTTTGGTTCTGACTTGCTCTGACTCCTCACCTGCTCACCATTAGCACCCCGTGGTGCAGTTGTGTTTGACATCCCTGTAACAGCCCCTGATTTATACGGCCTCTCACAATCCCTCCTCCCTGCATGGCCTTGGGAGCAGCAGAACAGACATTCTGAAATGGAACTGCTTTGAATCAGTCACTGCCAAAGGAGCAGACACCTTCAAAGAGCATTATCTTTGTGAATCAAACTTCACCCTTCCCAAATGATCTCTTTTTTTAAATGAAATGGAGCTTTTAGGGTTTAGCAGAAGCGGACAAATACTGCAATGGACAGACTTAAAAAAAACAGGTGAAAGCATGACTGAGATTCACAGTCACAGAATAACGGAGAGAAAGGATCCAGGGAGAAATCCAATGTGCTACATTCATCACTCATTCAATTACAAGGATTTGAGCAACTGTGCAATGAAGGGCATTCAAGCTCCCCATTTTATGGTGCACCTCTGATGCTTTTCCACATGGCACTGCAGGAGATGAGCCGTGCTCCTTTCTACACCCATTCCCCACAGAAAATCTGCAAACCATCACTACTGATGTTCCCTAATTTAGAATCCATGTCCTAACGTTCTCTGCCTCCAAAGCACGGCCACCACTTCATGCCCTGCTTGCTTTAGGGATGTGGTTTTCCTTTGGTCTGATGGGAACACCATGATTATGTGCTGCACGTGCCAGGGAGGCAGGGCTGGGTGGGGAAGGAGAAGGGAGGCTTCAGCTCAGAACTGATAGTACCTATTTTTGGCTCCCAGAGCCAGGCTGTGCTTCTCCCACTCTGTTTTGATGCTCCAACACATTTCACTGGAGATGTCACCAATCCCAGGCAGTCACGACAATCTGGGGTGCTGGGACTCAGCCTCGTGGGGGAGGGAAGACAAGCAGCAATTTTTCTGAAGTCTGTGGCAGGAGCAAATGGATTTGTAGTGACTGTTATTTGAATATTAGTACTTAGATGAGGTTATTTTTCGGTCTGAACATACATTAGAACACAGGAGATCTGCACCTGGTGCTCCCTTTCCACCTGGCTGCAGTGGGACATCACCTCTTCCTGAACTTCCATGGTGAGGCTTTCAGATGTGGTTAAACATCCTGCAGAACCAAATGCCCTCTTGCTCCCCACTGCCTGGGACACATAAAACAGACAAAATACACTGAATTAATGTCCTAAGTGTGTTTTACACAACTACAGTGCCTACTGGGGGTGCACAGGATTTCCCCAGAACTCCAAGTGCTACAGTTCCCACTGTTGTTAAGTGACAACTTATTTGCATCCCAGAATCCTGAGGCAGCACAAGCCACAGGATCAGCTTTCCTTTCTTCAGCTGCTTTTCTTCATTCTGTCTCCTGCAGCACCCTGTGCTGTGGAGTGACAGAAACACGTAACAGCTTCTCCAAACACAGTTATCTTTAGAAATGGAACAGCAAAAGAAAATGACACCATGTAGACACTGTAAAAAGCCTTCACTACAGTGAAAAAAAATAAAAATGTTACATTCTTGATCAAGGAACAAACTGGTCTGAATAGTCACAATCACATTTTACAGCCATGTAACTCTTTTTATCTTTTTCTCTCCCAACATCTGAAGAAGATGAACATCTGATTCCTTTATGTGGGAATTGCCTAAACCAGCACTGGGAGAAAATATGCAGTTGAATATTGATCTGAAAAGATGGAGTGAGTTCAGCCCTGAGTTAATGCTGCAGGATTTTGGACAGGGGCTGGCAGAGCTCAGCCCCTCTCAGGACCAGCCCCAGCCTGGTTCCTGCCAGCCCCACAGCCTGAGGCTCCTGCAGCTCCATTTGCAGCAAAGGTTGGCTGAGGGAGCACAGCACCATTTTATTTAATCATGCCTGGAGTTCTTGTATCCACAGCAAAAAAATCCTGGGAGCAGAGTGTATTTTCATGATCACACAGAGTGGTATAAAATGTCTGCACCACTTCTTTCCACTCCAGCCTGTGCCTTTGAAGTCATGGTAACAGCTTTTGGATCCCAATCCTCTGATGAGACTCCTTGATTTATTAGGTAAAACATCTGGAAAAAATGAGGACTTGTGGCAGTGTAAATCCTCCAGAAGGAGCAGAGAGAGGTTTCATCTGAGCAGCCCTCCTGTCAAACGCAGGAAACCTGAGCCCTGGCCGCTGGCCTGAGGGTGCTGCGGGCTGAAAAGCTCCAGCAGGGCCCGTTCCCGTTCCACCCAGCGGCCACAATGAGCCGTGAGCAGAGCGAGGTCCAGCAGCCCTGGGAAGGTTTGCAACACTCAGGTGGCAGCAGCAGCGCTGCCCTGACAGCACCGGGAGCCCCTGCTGTAAATCCGGGTGCTCTGGGGTGTAAATACCTGCAAATACCTGCCTGGCACCCCACAGGAACAGGCACCAGCCAAACCCACTGCCCGAGAGGGGCCTTGGGGTGGCTCTTCCATCCCATAATTACAACAGGAATGTCAGAGAAGAAAATGGTTTGGAAGGAACGAAGCCCATGGAAGTAACAAACAAGGCAACAGGCACTTTGTGAGGCAGATTCCTTCTTTTGGGTGACATGCCCTTTGTGAGGCAGTTTCCTTCTTTTGGGTGATATGCCCTTTGTGAGGCACATTCCTTCTTTTAGGTGACATGCACTTTGTGAGGCAGATTCCTTCTTTTGGGTGACATGCCCTTTGTGAGGCAGATTCCTCCTTTTATTTGGAGCCAGCCCCGAGGTAAGAGAAGAAAAGAGAGAGAGGGAGCAGCAGGAGCAGCTTGCTGTGCAGGGTGTGTGCTGGGCAGACACGTGTGGGAGCACCGTGTGTGCATCCGGCGCTGGGCACGTGGGGGCAAAGGTACAAATCACCCAGGTACCTGACTCACAGTTATTTACTCTCTGCCTTCCCCACACAACAACCCAGGTGCCAAATTTCAGCACTGAAAATCCCCTGAGAACCATCCTTTGCCAGTTATTTTTCCCATCTAAATCCCTCTTCCAGCAATTGGAATCACACAGTTCAAACAGCAGCCCTGATGCCAGTGGTGCTTTTTGGAGGGGGTGTAGGACTGGCAGAGGAGGGGGAGTTTGGGGAGTATTTTTTTAATCAGATAAATTATTGCTGGGAAACCAGCCACTTCTCTCCATTCAATTTATACTCTATGGGGAATCCATCTAATACCCCTGCTCAGAGTGTGAGGCAGGACCAGCGAGATGCTGTATCCAAGCAGGGAGGGAGGCAAAAGATGGGATGGAGTGCAGGGAACGAGCAAACAACGGGAGGAAAGGGCTCTGGAAAAGCCTGCAGAGAAGAGGGAAAGCCAAGGGATGTGTCTGCAGCTCCTCAAACAAGGGAGGAGAAAATTGATTTCTCTGCTGGCAAACTGGAGCAGGCTGGAGCAGAGTGGGATGGGATGGGATGGGGTGGGATGGGATGGGATGGGATGGGATGGGATGGGATGGGATGGGATGGGATGGGATGGCTCAGAAACACAAGGGGCTTTTCCCCTGTGGGGAGGTGGCACAGCTGCAGGCAGGATGGAGGGTCCGATCAGGCTCAGCTTGAGTTTGCAGAGTGAGTTTGGTGATTTCCCATTTCCCAGTGGAACTGGGAAGCTGCCAGTTCACCTCTCTGCTGCATTTGGAAGTGCTGAACCCTTTGCTGGCTGGCAGAGAGAAGCCAAGGGCTGGGAACCAGCCAGTTTGCAGCACCCAGGGTTCCAGGATGCTCACAGGGCAGCGTGTCTGGGAGCCTTGTGCTGCTGCCTGGGCATTCCTCTCATCCCTGTTTGTGATCCCTGCTCAGCTCGGGCTCTGCTGCAGCTCCAGGGGTGGGGACAGGCTGTGTCCTCATCCCAGCAGGCACAGCTGGAGCTGGGCACTGCCAGCAGGGGCACAGGCAGGGAATTATTGTCCCAAGCCCACCAGGCAAGCTGGTGCCCAAAGCTGCCCAGAGCCTGCTGCCCAAGCAGGACTGGCTCTCTTTCATGTGCTAACACCAATTTAGTCCTGAGGCTTCCCAGTCCAGCACTTCCCAGTGACTATAAATGCACACGGAGTTTTTAAAGAATTACAGGGTAATGGCACCTGAATGGGTGTCGAGGTGCACTTTGCTGGCCTTTTATTCTTCTTTATAACAAAGAATTCAAAGCTTTAGTGGGAGAGTTGGCAGTAAGCTCAGGAGATGGGGAGACTTCTGAGGATGATTTCCCAGATTCTGGGAGTGACTACAGTACAAATAATGTTGGAAAAGAAAGGAATTGACTCAGCAGGAGGCAAAAGGGAACAAGTGGAAGAGTAACTCTGCTCTGGAAAGCCATGAGGAGAATATGACACAAAGCAGAAAAGAGAAATAAAACCCAAAAAAAGAAATCTAATGTGTATTTCAGAGGGATTCCTTCTGACAGCCTGACTGTCCAAAAACTGCTGAGTGCCATTCTCAGGGAACTGGGCCTTACACGAATTTTGGCCCAAAACAACAAAGAGATGCTTTAACTCAGAGCTCATTCCCATCCTCCTCAACAGCCCAGGGGCTCTCTCCAGTCCCCCCTGGCTCAATCTAAGCAGTGTGAAAGTGTTGCTCCTGACATTACACCTTCCTTTCCCAGGCAAAATTAATGCTTGAAGCAACGCTGATCTAAACACGTAATTAAACCCCCTCTAGCCCACCTACCTAATAAACTCATTTCCAGACACCAATTAACCTGTGAGGTTATTACTGGGGATTACAGATCTCCCTAGAACTCCTCGTGTCAGGATGCAGGGAGCCCACTTGTTCTGCAAGTGTCAGGTCATGGGGATCACCTTAACCTTGGATCCTTGTCCAGCTACCACAGTCCTGGGAATAAAATTAATAACTTTCTGGCATTTTCTTCCTCTCTAAGAAATGGAGAAAGTGTTATCTCTTCCTCCTCATAATTTTTCCTTGCATTTTGAGTCCCCAGACATCTGCACTTTGTTAAAGCACTGCCCATTTCAGAGGCTTTTTCCAGAACTGGATAAACTCTGGTGACAGATATCCAAGCTGCTTTGTACATTTAGTAGTCCCTAAATGTCTGTTTTGGAGTCTGTTCCAGATTCTAATCATGTTACATTAAGGTTCAGGGACTCAGTAACCTCTCCCCACTCAATCCCCAAGAAAAACAGAAACAACAGCCCTTCAACCCTGGATCAAGCACAAACCTCTCCAGAGTCCCAGCCCAGAACCATCTTTCATCAGTCTCAGTTTCTGTGACTCCTGGACTCCACAGGACGTGCAGATTCTCCCTGTCCAAGGCAAGAACACCCATGCCATGACTCAGGATTTCTCCTGACAGAACAAGGTGGAGAGGCTGCTCATGGCCAGCCCACTCACATTAAGGGGCTGTTAAAGCCTCTCCAAGCTTCCTGGAGCCTCACTGGGCTGTGGGAGTTTTGGGCTTCTCCCTTGTTCCACGTTGGTTTTCATTCCTCATTTCTTTGACACCTGATGCCATGTGGTTTGTAGGAATCCCTCTGGGTTCAATAAACCATGGAACTGAGCCTCCTTATTCTGCTTTCGTCTTCCACCTGTGGGGACTCTGCTCTGGGTTTCTTTTTCCTCCGTCCTGCTGCAAACTTGCAGGTAACTTTTGGGAATTTTGTATCGGTGAAGTTACTCCCAACTCTGCTGACTGATTTTCAGAAGGAATTCAAGGTAAGGGAAGAAAACAGCAGGATACCTCTTTAGAAACCAAGACTAGTACAAAAGGGCTGCTGGAAAAATTGTTTTCATCACCCACAAATTCCCTGATGCTGGAAAACGTCCCCCACTTTCCCATCTTCTCCCATTTGCTGCAAGTTCTGACAGGAACAGGTTCTGCTGGGAAGAGCTGACTGTGCCAGAACGCGAGAGCCGCTGTTCCTCCACCGCCCTCCCCTCCCCAGATCCCCACATTTCAGCCCAGAAAATGGAAATTGCTCTGTGTTTACCAACCCTCCTGCTCCTTCCTGCTCCACCAGGACCTCTGTGCCTGAGCCAGGTCTCTGCTGTTTACAAGCCCATCTGCTGCTGTTGCTTTTCCTCACCTCAAGTTTGAATGCTCTGTTCAGGATTTCGCTCACCATTGTGTCGGGAACTGCAAAGAGCAGCCGAAGATTTCAGGTGGGAAGTGAGCAGCAGGGAGAGAGGAATGCAAATCTGTTCTCATCTAAAGAACCCTCAAAATAATTTAAAAAAAAGAAGAAAGAACCAGATGAAAGAGGAAATTCCAAATGTTTTCAGCAGCACAGTCATTCCAAGGAGAGTTTGTCTTATGTTTTGGTGAGAATTTGAACATTTAGAACCAGAAGGGAAAAAGCACAAGTGCTCCAATGGCTGTTGCCCTGAAATTACCTTGGTCCCTCTGGTCTCTGCAGTTTAGTCTCTGTAGGAGCTTCAAGCCTCCACTTTGCCCAAACCTGTCAAAAGTGAGTTGAGAGCTCTCCATACAGTGAAACTCAAGGCTGCATCTCTCCAGGAGAAGAGGGGAGACCCTTGGGAGTCAGGGAGAGACTGGAGATGGCTGTGTCTGCCCAGAGGCCCCTGTGAGCAGCAGAGCCCGAGCCTGCACGAGGGGTGCTCTCTCCAGAGGCTGATGGATTCAAGCTCTCTCCTATCCCTGCCTTTGCCAGCAGGGAAGCACAGTGAGGAACAAGCCTGGGCAGGTGCTCAGACACCAGCGGGCTCCTGCCAGGAGCAGGGATGGGAAGCAGCCAGGCTGTGGCTCATGCTGTGCTCCTGCACACGGCGTGGCTGCAGTGGGAACCAGTGATCCCCAGCTCTGCTGGGCCTGTGTTCTGTCTGCTCCCAGTCCATGCTGGTGCCTGGATTGGAAGGGAAACCAGAAATTGTTTTCCTGGACCCTTCTCAGAGTCAGTGAGAATCAGGAGAACGCAAAGAGCTTGAACTGCCCTGACCAGAGAACATCAGTGGCCAAAGTGTCTGTGCTCCAGCCCTTCCTGGGCTTTACTCCTGGAGCTGGGAACTCAGGCAAGGACTGGCTAAAGGGAGCAGCATTTGGAACAGGCTCTGCTGTGCCCTGAGCTCTGGGAGGCCCAGCCTGTGCACACCCACCTGCCCTTGCACACGGGAGAGCAGACATGGCTGGTTCCAGAGCAAACATCCAGGGGAAGTTCACACTGTGTGTGTGTGGACAATGGCTGAGAAGGAGCAGGAAGAACTGGGAAGTGGAGAGGATGGATTCTCAGGAAGGAAAAGCCCACCAGAGGTTCCTTCTGACTGTCCCTCTGTGCCACTGGAGCACAGTGGATCAGCTGCACCAGCTCTCAGCCAGGAATCTGCCTGCTCTAGGGAGGAACACACTGTCCCACTTGGCAGCTCCCTGGCCCTGCCCTACCAGCTCAGCACAATGCACAGACCCCGTCCCAGGGCTGGAGGCTGTTGGGAAAGGAGATTCCCTGGAGGGCAGGAGGCTCCCACCGTGGCCAGGGCAGCTGCTCTGCTCCAACCTGGAACCAGGACAACATTCCCTTCCATCTGCAGTGCCTATGGCCCTTTCCTAAAGGATGTGTGTGTTTGGATTATCTCTCTTTGAGGACTTCACCGTGCAGAGCAAGGTCTGAAGAGCCCAGAAGTGCTCAGAGGTGCTGAGTGAGTGCTGGTTCAGCTTCCCCAGCCCAGAGCACTCAGGGAAACTGCTGGGTTTACAGACACACTCCCAATGGAGCCAGCAAGGTGCTGGGATGCCCTGGAAATGCAGTGCTGAGCAGGTGAGGGCAGAAAGACTGAAATCAGACTTTGCAAGAAGTTCCTGCCTCGTTCACTCCCAGAAATGTCCTCTTGGAGCCGAACTGTTCCTGGGAATAGCTGTGTGTAACACCAGGCAGTGCTGCAGCTCCAGGGCCTGGAGCAGGACTCTGGAGCACACATGCTGTTCATTAATGCTAATCCAGGAGCAGGGATGATGCGAGAGCAGAACCTCTGAGGGGATTAAGCACACAGATACCGCCTCACCGAGCTGCAGTGCAGGGCGGGATCCAACCCGAACAGCCTCCAAAACTCACTCAGATCTCGTTGCTCTGGTTTGGCCTCGACTCCAGCAGGATGGAAGGAGCTCAGGGAGATGGTGGGAGAGGGGAGAAGGAAGAAAGGAAAACATCCTGCTCCCCGTGCTCCCCCAAAAGCAGCGTTCCACCGCTGGGGCTCTCAGCGTGCTCTGCAAACTCGCCTCCCTTCCCTCGCTCCCGCTTACATTGTTCACTTTCCTGCAAATTGTTTCCACATTCTGTATAAATAACCCCGGTGCCAGCGAGGGGGAGGGGAGGCGCAGGGAAGGGGTGGGAGGAAATCCAATGGCTTTGTTACTTTGGAAAAAGAAGGTGGAGGACGGAGAGGAGCGGCTGGAGCTGCAGCCCTGGCAGCCGGAGCAGAGAGTTGCCATCGAGCTTGCGTTCAGACCTGGAGGAAGAAGAGTAAACAAGGAGGAGATTATATATAATTATAGACAATCATGTTGCTGGGGATAAACAGGAATCAAAAGCACGGAGGCACTGGAGTCTGGCACATCCCCAAGCACGGAACAGGAGCCAGCCAGCGAGAGGCACTGCGGCAGGAACGCGCTTCCCTTCGGGCCTGCTTCCACTTAGCTCAGGGGCTGGGGGCTCTTTCCTCTCTTTTTGGCTGGAGGCATTCCCCCACAAAGAGAGGAGCTCATCCAATGGGGAACAGAAGCCAAAGTGAAGTCAGCAGAATTGTTGTCTGTGACATTCACTGATTACCCTGTGAGAAACGTCAGAAACGTTTGGAAAAGATACAACCCAGAGAGGTCAGCAGGAGCAACAACAACAGGAATTTCTGAACAAAAATGGCTTTAGAGGCACTCCAGAATCTGTGCCTGAGTGTCCTGTGGGCAGCTCCTCTTTGGCAGGACACAGGGGGGGAGCTGCAGCTCAGGGTGACACTCGGGTCCTGCTTGTGTTTCCCAAGGATCCAGGGTTTGCTTAATGGTGAACAAAGCCATGGAGAAAACCTGAAACAACAGCAGATGGGCCATAAGGGCTGTGCTGTTGGTTTTAAACGAGGACTTGGGGGAATTCAACAAAGAAAAAAGAAAAGGAGCCTCCTTGGTTCCCTCGAAGGCTCTCGAGAGTCAGAGGGAAGGTGACAAACAAAGGACAGCAATCGCTGATGGTGACAGGAGGAGATTGTTTAGCAAGGCAGTGTGAAGAGCTCTCTCCCAGGCACTGTTTTCAATCCAAATAGCTCACAGCCTGCTGAATTCTTAAGCCATTTTGCTGATCTCTCAGCTGTTCTTCATTGAGAACACAGGCAGATACTTCAAAGCAAAAAAAGCAGAAAGGAAAAATAAATATAAGAAACAACCAGACTTGTGTTTAGAATCTGCATAAGATCAGAGGAGGCAGGGAATGCTCACAGGCTTCTTCACCTTCTCCCTTTCGGTACAGGTGCTCCAAGTGTCCTTTCCCCTAAGGAAAGAAAATTGATTTTTTAAAGAGAAATGACATTTACTCTCTGAGAACAGTGGCACAGTTTGGTGGATGATATTATCTGCCTATCTGGATGTAGGACTGCATATTTTCTGTGCATTCATCATTATGGGCATCTTTCCTCTGGGATTTCTTCTGCTGATAAATCCTTCCCCAGAGGGAAGGATGTACCTGTGTGTGTGCCCATGTGGGGGTGAGTGAAAGATCTCTCTGCTGGGTGAGTGAAAGATCTCTCTGCTGGCCATGTAGAAACTGTTTGGTATCACAGACAAGTGACAAAACAGGAGTCATGTTCCCCTCAAAGCTGCTGCAAAGAGCTCAGAAAGAGCAGAGGGCATGGACTTGGAAAAGACAGTAAAGGGTTAAAAAAGGTATTTGGAGTCCAAGTCTTATCGAGTCTAAATTTACATCGACTCTGTGAGGTAATATTTAAGCAATCTCCTCCCATGCCAAGTTACAACAGCTCCTTCCAAATATCCCAGACAGTGAACAGAACCAAGACTAAAAAAAAAGATAAAACAACGATGGCAAAAATAGCCAAGCACATCCTTTCCCAGTGCCCCTGTGCAAAGTGGGGCACAAAAAGATAAAACAACCATAGCAAAAACAGCCAAGTGTGTCCTTTCCCAGTGCCCCTGTGCAAAGTGGGGCACAAACAGTGCCAGGACAGAGCCTGGGGGTGACAGGGTAGCTCTGGACAGGCTACGGCCTCTTCACTTTCTCTTTCATTTGTACCTGACCAAGAGCAGAGAAGGACACAGAGCTCTTGTCCCGATGTTCTGGCAAAACTGAAATGAGGTTACTGATCTCCTGCAAGCACAAATGAACATCAATCACCAAACACTCATCAAAGCACAAAACACAGTCCCTCGGTGTTGTTAGACAGCAAGAATTAAGAGTTTATCAAGCTGGAAAGAGCAGATCCTCGAGGGAGAATGGATTTCATAAGCAAGCAGCAAATCCTTCTCCAGGCGCCTTGGTGCAACTTTGGCAGTGAGAAAATCAAAAGAGCTCCCACCTAAAGAGAAACACACAGGAGTGTTCCCAGCAGGCTTCTTAGGAAAAGCCCTTGGTGGGAGAAAGTGTCAATCCTGCCTCGCCTCCTCCAGCTTTCCTGAAGCAACGAGGGAAAAAAGACAGGGGGGAATGAAACAGAGTGAGATATTTGCATTGCTGCTGATTTTTGCCCTGCAAAACAAATCTGTGTGTGCTGGAGGAATGGTTTGCACTGGCTGGTCACAAAACCTCTGCAGCTGGGGCAGTCAGTGGGACAGGCACTCTGTGGCACATCCCACAGAGGGGCATCCCAGAGCTCTGCCAGGCCTGCAACAGAAACTGCTCAGGGTTGGCAGAGGTGAAACTCTGCTGCATCTCACCCTGCTAATCCCATTTTGGAGACTGGAACTTGGCCATGGGGAATGAAAATATGACTGAAGCATTTCAAGTTTGCCTGGCTGCCTTGGAGTCCCACCTTTGGAAAATCCAATGATAAAGGGACAGAGCAATTAGGGTTTTCTTGTGGTGCTGGAAATCGTTGTACTCCCAGCCCTTGGATGCTGTTATGTGTCCAAGTGCACAGTAACTGCACAGAGATGGGGAATTCTCTGAGGTCAGGGATCCCAGGCTGGGGGGAATGAGTTACAGCACCCACTGCACCTTCAGCCACCAGTGACCTCTCCATGGCCCCACTTCCCTACCAGCTGCTCAGGAGGCAGATGTTTAAACCTGCCATCCAGAAAATGTGTTTATGTGCTGACACTCCTTCTGCAGCTACTTTGGAAATAAATATTCCCATTTTTATGAGAACGGGCAGGGATGAGCTCAGCCCTCCAGGCCAGAGCTGCTGGGCACAGGCAACTTCCAACACATGCCTGTAATGAAGTAGAGAGATGCTCAGGGGAACCCAACATTTTGTTTAATGAAAAAAAGCCCTGCTTCAAGCTTCTGAAGGGTTATTATAAGCTGTGGCGAGATGAAACTCAAGACATAAGTCTCTTTGTATTTAATAATACATGGGATCGATTTTTTCCTGTGGAGAAACTTCAATGAACACCTTTCTTTTTGTTTAAATCTTTTGTTGCAGGTATTGATTATTCATTGAAAATCTAAACCCCAAAGATGTGACCAAATGATTTCACAAAAAAGGTCTGATTTCTGCTCCAAAGCAGGCATTTCCAAGCAGTGACAACCCTTTTGCTGTACAGACAGTGCAGTGCTGATGATGAGTTTATAATTAGCCCATACAAATGTGTACACAAATGTACATAACTGCATTTCAGGGCAAACTACTCACCTCTTAAAGCAAAAATGCAGCTACAATACACACCAGAGAAATACAGCAAGCATTCTGATCTTAGCAGGTAATTAAAGTAGATTAATAAAAGTCAATTTATTGCCAAAGTGTCCCCAGAAAGGGTCCCACAAAGCCCCCTTGAAGAGCTGTGACACCCAAGCTGAGGAGGCTTTACTATTAAATCACTTTGTCACAAAAATGGTCCAGCAAGCGCTGACTCAAACTCCTGTGTTTCTATACCTGATAAACACGAGGGTGCCATCCTTTTAAACGTGTATTTGAATATGTATTTATGCTTCTTTAACATCCCGGATCTCCTCCTGAACAGCGGCTGTACTGCGGCTCTGCTGGGATTTATTCTCCGAGCTCGAGGGGGGGTGAAGCAGATTGAGATGCACATGAGACAGGAGGAGGCAGAGGGAGAGAAAGAAAGGAAAAAGATCAATTAACGACCTGATCCCGGGGACAAAACAGCACAATTGTGGTCCCTAAAGTCCCCTCAAGTCGGTCGTGGGCGTAAGCGCTGGGGAGGGACGCAGCGCTCTGTGACAGAGCCCAGTTCCAGCGGCCGGGCACGAGTCTCCAGATCACAATAAGGCAGCTTGAAGGTGACAGATTTCATTGTTGAAGGTGATAAAATTCCACGTGGCGCCCTGCAAAACAAGGGCTGGAGC